TTTTCCTTCACTATAGGAAAAAAATATATAACACCCAAACTCAGCTAACTCTATTGTAGTATTATTTTGAGACTATGATAACACATTTCACATATTTTAAAATATTTCTTTATAGAAAATGAAACTCAGCTAGAAGACAATAAAAGATTATCAATTCCAAGTTCTTGAAAGGTTCAAGTTCTGTATTCCAAGGCAGTCAATCCTGGGAACACGTCACACTGCCCAGCCTGCCCCGAGCCTGCTCCAGGGAGACGGTCCAGTTCCAGTGAGCGGAGTGGTGGGGCGAGGGCTGGGAGCAGGCGTGGGGACAGAGTGGGAGCTGGTTACAACGAGCAACGTGGGTCCATGTGACTGAGACCCTGTGGGTTAGTGCTCCACTGACATCACCTCAGGCATGTGCTTAAAGGAACTTGATGAGCAGAGGACATAATTGAAAATAAAATGGCAATTCCCATACCCTCCGTCTGGGGCTTTATCAGACTCTGCTGGTGTGAGAAATCCAGCGGACACCAACCTGGGGACTCCTGGTCTGGTCACAGAATCCCTCTTCCCCAAATTAACTATGGCTCTTCCATTTTCAGCTGCTCTTCTTAATAGCTCACCTTCCATGTGCATCATTTCTGAACTCAAAGGGCAAAGGGAGGGCAAGACGTGACCACACGCATGGAGTCTGGGCAGGGAAGTCCAGACCTCCCAGAGTCTATCTCAGGGCCCTTCTCAGATGCGCTCCACGGGCCACACAGACCCAGGCTGTGCTGGTGCCTCCCCCAGCAACCACAGGCCCCTCCTGTGAGCCAACACCATCTGTCCCTCTGTCTGTTTGACATGGAAAGCAGTGTGGGCTCAGGCACCTACTCTGTGAAAAGCTAGGGCAGACCCCTGGCAAGTCTCTCCTTAAAATAGCCCCCAGAGAACCCCTTCTAATCAATTCCTTGTTTTCTGGGTGATGTTCTGTAGAACTTCCACCCTTTACTGTGCTGCTGTTGTTCTCTGGACCACTCCTATTTCATTACTATTGTTGTCAACTTGAAGAACAAGCAGAAAGAGGCTCTCTAAAATGAAACGAATGCTTATTTGGGAAGAGAGCATTGCGATGGGAATACACATGCCATCATAAATGACAAGAATACTCAGGGAGGTAAAAAAAAAAAAAAAAGACAGTAATTTTTAAGGAAAAATAAATGAGAGGATTAAATCATTGTTTCGAAATAATTATCTTTGGCTACAGAGATCCATAACAGGACGAAGCCAGTCTGAGGTTGGACAGGCCGTTGCTGGGCAGGTGTCCTTGGAGAAGTGCTTTTTGTGTGTATAAGTTTGTGATGAGCCAGGTGCAGTGGCTCACACCTGTAATCCCCACACTTTGGGAGCCCGAGGTGGAAGGATTGCTTGAGCCCAGGAGTTCAGGATGAGCCTGGGGAATACAGAGCAACCATATCTCTACAAAAAGTACGAAAATTAGCCAGGCCTGGTGGCTGGTGCCTGTAGTCCCAGCTACTCAGGAGGCTGAGGTGGGAGGATGGCTTGAGCCCAGGAAGTGGAGGTTGCAGTGAGCTGAGATTGGAACACTGCACTCCAGCCTGGGCAACAGAGCCAGACCCTGTCAAATAGAATAGAATAGAATAGAATAGAATAGAATAGAATAGAATAGAATAGAATAGAATAGAAGGTTTTGATGGCCTTGTGTGCAAGACTGTGGTTCTCATAGAGCCTTTTTAGTTATCAGGTACACAAGTGTGAGAACCCTCTCTTCATGGCCTTCCCCCATTCTATTTGTCAGGGTTCTCTTAACATTACTGACTTCATTTTGATTCTGACAACTTTCATACTATATAAGACTTTAAGCATATAAAACCTTAAGGTCTTACGTAAGACCACCTATTTCACTATCTTTATATAATACCTTCAGTATTTTGTATTTTTAACATATGATTTATGGTCATTTGGAATGAGGGTTAATGCCCCTAAAATCTACATTTTCATCTTTAAAAGTATTTGTCTTCCAGGGTCATAACCAAATGGTGAGGTAAGAATAATGACCAGAATAGCCTTCATTAGTCCCTCTAACTCTTCTGTTCACAAGCTTGCAAGCTCCAGTGCTGGAGTTGTAACTCCTCCCCACCGGCCACATTTACAACACAGTGTCTGTCATTCAGGAACGAAAAGCTCCCCAGATCCAGGATGCAGCAGTCGCTTTCATGCCCCTCTCTGCAGTCAAAGTGCCCTCCCACTCCATTACCTGCTTTCGTTCCTCAGAGTTGAGCAGGAGATAGCGTGGGTCAAACACGATTTTGTGTAATTCTTTCTCCCAGGTAGAAAATGCTGACACCTAAAGAAAGATATTCAATAGAGTTGCTGTTAGCATCTAATGCTAAGCCTGAAGCCACGCTGAAATGATCGATGGTTAAAAACAAACAAACAAAAACCGGCATTAAAGTACAATAGATTCAGTGATGTGGTAGAGTATAAGTGTTAGACATGTCGGATGTCCCAAGAAAATCAATACCTAGAACATCAGAAAATTTAATTTCTAGACTCATGACCATTTCTTTCTTGGGTAACTTTCAGGGTTGTGTCCCCTGATGTGAAACCCCAATTATATCTGTGGAGGCGTGGCATTCTGGAACACCCCACTTCAAAAGGAGAAATTATATTTGTAAAAATTTTCAGAACCCCTACAGACCATAACAAAGAGTAATGTCTTGAAAACAGGCTGAGTTTAGTTGATTTGCAATCAAAGTTTAACCTCTTTTAGGCAGGTCATTTTAAAAATAAATTATTTTGTTTGCAATAGTTTTACACGTACTAAAAATTTGTAAGAATATTACAGAAAGTCACCATATACTCATACCCAGTTTCTCATGTTGTTAACATATCAGTAGGCTAGATTCATCACCACTAACACTGATACATTATTGCTAACAATAGTCTGCGTTTATTCAGATTTCTTTAGGTTTTACCCAATTTTCTGTTTCTGTCCAGGACCCTATCACGTTTGGCTGCCATATCTCCTTGGACTCCTCTTGGCTGTGACAGGGTCTCAGACGGCCCTTGTTGTTGATGACTTTGAGGAGCAAAGTCATGATGGTTTGAGGAGCCCTGGTCAGGTGCATTGCAGGATGCTCCTCCGTTGGGATTTGTCTGAGGTTTTCCTCATAAATAGCCTGGGGTTATGGGTTTCGGGAGGAAGACCACACAGGTAAATGCCATTCTCATCATGTCATAACAAGGGTATACACACTGCTGACATGACTCCTCACTGTCAGTGGTGGCCGTGGTCGGCTGGCTGAGGTCTCCCCACTGTGAAGTGCACCTCTCCATGCTGTCCTCTCTGGAAGGACATCGCCATGCACAGCTCACACTTAGGGGTATGGGCTGTGTCCACTTCCGAGGAGGAGAAGTAGCTACATGAGTGACTGGGAAATGTTCTGGGGGCGGGGGGTGGTGAACACTCGTTCATGCCTCCACATTGCTTATGTACTCAATCTTTTATTTATATTGCTGTGGACTCGGATATTCAGCCCGTGCTTGGGCTGGACTCCAGTGTGACTTTGCTTCTTTTCCTGCTCAGCTTCTTCCAGGTTGGCCTTGGTGAGCTCTGTGGGGGGTTCCTGGCTCCTGTGCGCCTCTGACAGGAGCTCATCACTTGGCTTTTTGGGCATCTCCTTAATTTCTGCCACTAAAGATACTCCAGGGTCATCTTCTGCATGTCCCACCTTTGCCCTTGAATCAGTCAATTCTCCAAGAAGCCCTGGCTCCTTTCCTAGAATGGTGTTAGAAACCAAGATCTGGGCACTGGTGTGTTCAATGCTAGTGAGGTGTCATTGCTTCTAGACTCTCTCAGCTGATAGAGCAAGGGAATGCTTAAGTCATTTAGAACATAAAAGCATTCATTTAAAAACATGGACTATGCATTCACTGTGCCTTGAGCCCTAAGCTGGGTATTGAGGATCCTGAGGAAATAAATCAAGGAAGCCCATGGTCTAGGGTAGTGCTGGTGAGGAGCTAACAGACTCTTAAGATGGCACTAGGGCCACAGCAGAGACAGACCTGGACACTAGTGGGACCCAGCAAAGACCCACAGCAGCCTGGGGAGGTGGCTTCCAGAGTGCTGTGACTTTGGAACATGAATACTCCTCACGGTTCACATAGGAGTCTGGGGGGTGTCCCAGGACTGGCTGGCAGTCAGGGCAAAGGCTGGGTCATGAACTACAGGGAATGCAGGAATCGCAAGAGGTTGAACATGCCTGGGGGTGCCAGAGCCCATGAAGGAACAAGGAAGAGGCAGCAGAGCCAGAGGCTGAGGTGCAGGGCAGTCTGAGACACGGTCAGGAGCCTGGGCATTCTCTCGAGAGACAGGGGAGAAGAAAATTCGGATGGGGCATGCGTTTGAGGAAAGCCACCCTGGGATCTGGGCAGGAGATGAATACCTGGGCAGGGTCAGGGAGGGGAAGGTAATTGAAAGTTTACAAAAACAAAACCCCATTCGCATTCTTAAAATATTCCTCATAGAGGTACTATTTCAATAAACACGTGCTTTATCTGTTTATCATAACAGATGAATTTACTTCACTGGCAATTTCTATCTTGAACTATCAAATTTAAGCCTTTTCTGTAATAACCCACAAGCTCTTTCATTGGGTGGGATGACCGAGGGTCCAGCCAGGGATTCTCCTCCACAGAACACGGTGAAGCATTGCTGGGACTCAGAGTGAGGGGGTGACTCTGGGAGGGTCTCCAGGCAGAATGGGTCCCTTTAGCTTTGACTGAGTGCACGCGGCCCCAGGAGCATCTGGGGCTGTTAGAGAAGCTGTGGGCAGCCTCCATTCAGCCCAATCAGATGGCAGACACCCATCTCACGGGGACCTGTGCACAGCCTGACGGTCCCAGCTCTGCAGGGACAGAGGATTAGACCCTGTGTGGCATAACGACACCAGTTTCTGAAAAATGTTGGAGTTCTAGAAGTATAATAAAATAATTTTTCAATTAATGATGTGTAGTTTTTGCTGCTGAAGGGATTTATAATCTCTATAGAAGGTCAGATAAGCCATCTCTACAGTGATTACAACTTACAATGATAAGCCCAACAGTGTCATGTCAGGGACAGTTCAGGGAAGGGTGAGAGCACAGTGGCTGGGACCCAGGACGGAGGTGGGGGCTGAAGTGAAGGCTGCACAGCCATGTGTGAAACAGGGTCCTTCCCTGCCCTCCAGGTGGGCACAGGACTTCGCCCAAAGAAGGGGTCCTGATAGCCATGGGGACGAGGAGTCCTGCGAACTGCTCCTGAGAGAAGCCTGACATTCCCGAGCCTGTGTGAAATATCTACGTTGCCCAGAGAGTACATTCCATGGGGCCAAGATTACACATATGTGTGTGTGACTATACACACACACATAAGCACACACACAAACATCCATAGCATGTACACATGCAGGTGCACACACATGCAAACACATGAACACACACAGGACATGCTAAGATATGCATACACGGGCACGTGTGTACACACCTGCATGTACATAGTTGCACAAATGCACACATATGCACAAAGATGCACACATTGATACACACATGCACATGTGTGCCTACATACACACACACACACGGTACCGCCACCACCACCAAGGAAGTCCAACGTTGCAGAACAACCAGGGAAAGAAAGAGAAAGCCCATCAACTGAGTAGACAGCAAGCTGCGTATCTCCTTTATTTATTTATTTATTTTTGAGACGGAGTCTCGCTCTGTCGTCCAGCTGGAGTGCAGTGGTGCGATCTCGGCTCACTGCAAGCTCCGCCTCCCAGGTTCACGTCATTCTCCTGCCTCAGCCTCCCAAGTAGCTGGGACTACAGGCGCCCACCACCAAGTCTGGCTAATTTTTGTATTTTTAGTCACAACAGGGTTTCACCGTGTTAGCCTGGATGGTCTCGATCTCCTGACTCATGATCCGCTCGCCTCAGCCTCCCGAAGTGTTGGGACTAGGCATGAGCCACCGTGCCCGGCCCGAGCTACCGTGCCCGGCCCGAGCTGCATATCTTTTTTAAGTCCAGCTATGCTGTGGGACTGTTCTCTGGGTGGCCGTGGACAAAACCTGGTTCTCCCTGTTTCTGGCTGGTACCTCTCCAGAATGACTGGAATGCACTGGGAATGCAACAGGCTGAGAACAGCCAGGCTTTGTTTGGGTCCCACCCCAGAAACAAGACATCCTTCCACCTTTAGCCCAGCATTTCACATGACCTCAGGGTATAAAACCCACTGTGGGCTGCTTTTTGGAGCCCCTTGGTTACAGCAAAGGGTAGAGGAGGCTCCGTTCCCTCCTTGCCGCTTTCCTGGGCCTGCAGGACTGGTTCACAAGGCACCCTCATCTTCTACCACCCTTGTTTCCTGTCTGCAGGGAATAAACCCACTTCAGATGATTTGCTGTGTGTGTGGGCGTTCTGTCTCAGCAGCCTCACACAGGTGGCTGACCGGTGCCCAGGGAATCTCCTTCACATCTCAGTTTCTATTGCTGCATAAGCAATGACTTCAAACTCAGTGGGTCACAAGCACTACCTTGGGTCACTCCATGGACTGCGTGGGTCCTGAGTCCAGCATGGGGGCATTGGGCTCCTTGGCCCAGATCCCACTGGGCTGAGACGAGGTGCCAGCAGGAGCTTTGTTCTCGTCTGGTGCTTGGGGTCCTCTTCCAAGCTCACTGGACGTTGGGAGAATTCAGGTCTTGTGGTTGCAGGGCTGAAGCTTTCCATGTCTTCAGCCAGCTGGGAGCCAATCTTGGCTCCGAGCGGCTGCCTGCAGGTCCTTGCCCCAGGGCCCCCACAGTGGGGCAGCTTCTTCAAGCCAGAGAGAGAATCTCTCCCTGGCTAAGGCAGAGTCTTACACAACACAGTGCAACATTGCCACGGGTGTGACGTGGGCCCCGTCCACGCTCAAGGAGAGGACTGCACAGGATGAGCACAGAGCGGTGGGGCGGGGTAGGGGGTGGTGTTTAGAATCCTGTCTGCCCAGCACGCTCCTGAGACCAGGACACGCTGTTCCTCCCTCAGGGGTCTCCATGTCTCAGCAGAGATCTCTCTCTTTCCTCTTGCCTAACACTTCTTTGATTCTTTGGCATTTTATATGTGACTTGATCCTTAAAGACCTAAATTCTTCTGTAAACTTCAGACCCTTTCCTGCAGAAGTTTGTGATTCCACCCTCTTCCTCACCCTGTTGTACATCGTCACATCACCCCCTGGACGAACAGCAATGGCGATCCTGGTGCCTGTCTCAGCACGCCTGTTGTCTGTTTCCCTGTGGATGACGTGACCATGGCTGTGACCGTGGCCGTGTCTGTG